GAGTATGGACTCTAGATCCAATGTGTTTTTTTTCTTTTTTTCCCAGTGTGCTCTAATAGGCAGCCAGTTCAAATATGATTCGGTAAATTCCCCGAAATTTTTTGTTTAGAGCACTGTGAAATCATAAAAAATATTCAGGAAAAATGTCTGCAAACGCCTGACATACAGAGTACGTCGATCAAATGAAGCGTTAGCGGAGACTCTAAGACACCGCGACCAAGGAACGCCATTTCGATTGGAATTCATTTTTAATTAAGAACTAAAATTTCCTGCTCGTCTGTAATAACACCTATGTGCATAGGGAAACTAATGGCACATATGTCATTCCTAAACTGAGTCAGGAATTGCAGTTCCTAATTGGAAAATGGAGTTCAATCAATACTTGCTCTAATTCTTGATAACAATCAAAGGACTAGAATTTGTGTGCGCATCTACTCCAAACACCCTTTTCAAAATTCCTCAAAGCAATCGGCAAGCACTCCCGCACTAAGAGCCAGAAGAATCCACAAACCAACTATTCACCCCCGAGCACAATTTACGACCATGTCTGGATATTCGCTTGAGGTTTCTACACGGGAGTTCGGAGCCGTACTCCGTTGCCGCCGTCCTATCCACACCTCGCCAATTTACACGGCCCCCTGGCTGATTATCATCGGCCGGGCGCCCATTTCCACCGAAACCTCACCGCGGGGGGCACTTGGGCGCATGGCTTTTCAATTAGATTTATGTCTCCTCCTTCCCCTCCCTCCTCATTACCCTCCTCGTTTTCGGAAGTACTCGTGTGGGATCCGAAAGAGGTCTCGCGAGGCACTATCCGGCTCGTGGTGATAAGTTGTCGCAAGGCGTAACCACACTCGGAGATGAGCCCAATAAAGCATTGATTTATATGGACGACAGGGCCATCGCGCAGTGTACTTACGTTCTTATATGAAGAGGGCGTCGAAGTGTTACGTTGTAATGAGTTGTCACATTCCGTGTGACGTCAGGACCGTGCCATCAATCAATGTTTCGGGCCTTGTGCCCGCTCTCTCTCAGCGGGATGCAGGCCGTTGGGCAGTTTTCATTACTTCTGGCGATGGCTTAATCTATTAATTATTTATGGGCAGAGATGAGGATCGACAGGGAAGCACATTCTCAACTGTATTTTGTTTGGGTTGTTGTCCACCTGTTTCTTTCGCAAAGTTGAAAAACCTGGCAGTTTTTATAATATGGTGTAGAGACGCATCGACGTAGTGTCCTCTGCAGTTAGCGTAGCGGTAGGAAAACATAACAAGCAGTAAGCTCCAACGCATTCGCGACGGAAAGCGGCTCTGGCGACGGTAGTTGTAGTCAAGAATGAGGACCTAGACACATTTTGTCAGATTGGCCACGATAGTTGTTAAACGTTTACGGTTTCCTTGGTAACCTTTGTTTGCTATCAGCTGACATCGAGTAATATGCCTAGGAAGCTCCAACCACTGCACTCTTCCAAAAAACCGCGAAAACTTTAAAATTCAAAATTTCAAATTTTGAACGTAAAGTACATCTTTTCCATTACGAGATTAATGCACAGACAAGTTTTGAATTATTGACTGTATCACCATGATTCCAAAAATACACTACACAACATAGCATTGGCTAACAATAAAACAATATGCAATAAAATAAAGTCATGACAAGGTACATAGTCGAAAATGGCGCCGATTCCCATCAACCAACGCGCGGTCTCTCCAATGTAACATGGTCCATTGATACTCCCCAGCTGGGACCGTCCGGAATAGCAGCTCTAGTACAAGCACCAGAGCCGCTAAAAGTACATGAGTAAAAAGGCTATAAATTAATGTACGTCAAAATGTTCGGAGCGTTTCGAGGAGGTCTCGGTTCCCTTGTCAATCAGCCGAAGAAAAATGAGAAAATAAAATGAAGTAAAAACAAAAGACGAGGATCCCATTTTGGTGATATCAGCAGATAAGAGAATCCAAATTTAGATCCAAATTAAGTCTCAGTTTTGACCGTGCATTCTTGTTAATTGGTCGATCGTTCCCGAAAGCTTAATATCATCTGAAGAGAAGGGAATCATCTCTCTGTATCCCAGATAAGGAAAACATCTCTTTGGAATAACTCGAGTGATATTGCGGTACGTTTAGATTCCATAAATGCACTGAGAGGTTTCGCAGCGCGTTCCTTTTGGCCCTTGCGCAACGGACCTGGGCGTATGTAGGACCGCGGTATCGATGCAATCGATGTAATCAATTTTTGAGCGGGAGAAGAGACGCGACGGATGCAGGAGCGAACCAAAACGGCCCGAAATGCCGATCACATCGCGTCTGTTGGTGGTTCATTCCGCCGCGCCGCAGGAACGAAGGACCGGTCCACCGACAAAAACTTAATCGGTTAATTAATTAAATTTATCGCGCGGCAAGGTTGCCTGCATGCCCTCCGAAAGGTTGTCAGCTTGGAGCCGATGAGTTCCGAAAAGATGCGGTCGTCTGGTCCAGTAACAGAATGCAAAAGATGCGTTTTCATGCACTCGGAAAAAAGAGGTAGGGGTTGTTGAATGTTGGATGACATGAGCATTCCCAATTAAAACAGTTCGGAAAAAAGAGCATCACTTGTGTCATAAAAACGGCGCACCATGTGACACTGCTGCCGAGAAGTTGGACGCCGGCGCGTGTTGAATCCGCAGCGCCACGTCGTGAAAGCTGGAGCCCTTGAAAGGGCTATCGATACCCAAAAGTCACCAAGGCTCCTGCCCACGAGACCACGCGACGTTGACCGCGGCAAGGCAACCGCTTCGAAATAGGGACTGTTCCACTTGCAGCAACGGCTCAAGAGTCATTGAACGCCAGCGCCTTATGGTCTTCGAAAATGCACAGGCCTTGCGTTCCTCACTGGAAAAAGAAAAAAAAAAAAAAAAAAAAAAAAAAAAAAAAAAAAAAAAAAAAAAANAAAAAAAAAAAAAACACATTGGATCTAGAGTCCGGACTCTTAAGAACATCGACAAGAAAAAATACTCTTGATTCAATCGGATGTTTGCTTAGTTCAAGAACCAAGTCTCTTAATTTGAGCGGATTTCCTTTTGATTTGAGCAAAAATCTGATTGAATCAAGAGTACTTTTTCTTGTCAATGTTTTTCAGAGTCTGAACTCTAGATCCAATGTGTTTTTTTTTTTTTTTTCCAGTGCTCTGACGCACACTGGACTTAATAATAAATTCATTATGGATATTATTTGCAGATAGCAAGGAGGGTAGTTTCTTTTATCATTCAGGAATTGTATCTTTTAGTGGAAAAAGTTAGTTGAATTTGCTACCAAGAATATTTACCCTTGGAAAAATCATGCTCTTCTCTTGATTCAAGAAAAAAATTTCATTTTGGTGGCAAATTCAAGAATATTTCTTTATTCTCCCCCATTCTTTTCCGTTCGACCATATTTTTCAAAGATCTTTTTGCAGTCTTGGATTCGCACTCTCGATAGTCGCCCTACCTCGTAATAAATTTCCTCCCGTCCAAAATTCAGCCCTGAATCCCACGATTCGGAAATTCCCAGCAGCATCAGAATATGCATGAGTGAAATAGAGAGAGAAAGTTCCAAGATGCCGAACGCCACCGGTACATTTAAATACTATAGAGTCTCTTACGTCTGCCATTGACATCCAGTACATCACGAGCACCGTCGCGTCGGCGTCGGTACCCCACTATTTGCATCTTCACCGGCACACCGGAGTTCCAGATTACCATCCGGGTAACTTACGCCCCCCCCCTCTCGTAGTGCATCGCGTACGCAGGACTCCCCTCGGTGTCGGGGGGAGGGGCTGGAGGGGGAGGGGGAGTATGTCGCGTGGGCGCGATTTACCTTTGTTGGTGGCTCATTATCATACTCCCGAATCATCATACAATGCGTCTTCCGCCGGGAGGGGGAGGGAGAGGAGGGCGGCCGATTAATAATGCTCCGGCCATTACTGTCACGCCCGACAAATGGCCCCATGCAAATTCGCGCCCCGGGATTTACGGGGCCTCGGCCCGTAACTCGATCCCCCGGGTGGGGTCTGGACCCCGTGAGGTGGTTTTTTAAGTTTCCTAAGAAAAAAAAAATGGGCACGGTTGTGAGGTGTTTTTGCGGTTGAGTTTTTGACTTGAGCAATCGGGTGCCATCGACAAGAGTTTGGTAATTGTCATAAGTTTTGCTGAGATTGTACGTATCGAAGGTGACACCAATGGCTTGAGACTAAGACATTTTATCGCGAAAATAAAGCCAAAATTTCGAAAATTTTCGAATAAAAAGTCCACGAAGCGAGGGAATTCAAGTTCTTCTGCAGTAAGGAAAAATACGCAGCTGCACAACCCTAGCAATCCCGAAAAGCATTCACCGGGTTTCGAATTTTCACTCTTATTTTGCTGGTCTCCGCAGGAGCGACATTTCTACTGCCCATCTTGCCAAAAAAAAGTACCTCACTCTTTCCTTTTTTTCCTACCCTTTTTTTCCTACCCCTTTTTTCCCCCTCCAAAAATGTGGGCTTTCAGTTGGTCTCTCCACCTTTAGTCCACTGGGAAAAAAAAACACATTGGATCCGGAGTCCAGACTCTTAAAAACATCGACAAGAAAAAGTACTCTCGATTCAATCAGAATCTAGCTTAAACCAATTACCAAGCCTCTTAATTCAAGCGGATTTCGTTTTGATTCAAGCAAAAATCCGATTGAATCAAGAGTATTTTTTCTTGTCAACATTTTCAAGAGTCTGAACTCTAGATCCTATGTGTTTTTTTTTCCAGTGTCCCATTTTATCCTCCGAAATTTTATAGGTTTCATTGAAGTGCAAATCCAATCGCGATTCTCCATGAAGAGCCAATATTGGCCCTCACACGACTTGATTTCTCCGTGTTTTTGCCCCAACGCAGCTTTCCATTAAGGGAGGCCATAACGACGCTCATCGTGCACGAGTCTACGAGAGTTAAATTACCCAGGTTTCCTTGTACGCACGCCTAAGCTGAGTACTAATATGGTTGTTTCGGTTTGTTTCAGGAACACCACAACTTCGTCGGCGAGGACGAGTTGCTGGGCCCGGTGCTACTCTCTGTGAAGACGGAGACAAACAACGACGAAGAATACCTGAGGCTGCTCCTCAGGCTCCGAACGGGAACCACCCACGACCTCATCCCCGCTGCGTGCGCCAATAGCTCCGGTCCATACCACTTGGCCAAGGTGAGCTTTTTCTTTTGATTAATCGAGCTAGTCGTGCGTAATGTAAATGTAGATGAAAATGGAAAGTTTGATACAGGCCGCCATCAGGCAAGCAAGTAACAAGTAAAACTTGCTATGAGTGCCATTCATTTGAAAGCACTGACCACAGTGGCACCTCTGTTGGATAAGAAATTCCTTATGTCCTCGGCATTTTTAACCAGATTAAAGTCATTTTAGACAATCGATGAGACTTACAATGAGGAGAAAAAAACAGTAACAGTTCTGGAAACAGTACTGAATTTTTAAGGGCGGTCCGGAAGTACTGAGTAAGTGCAGAAATTCCGCAAGAAGGTCCGGAATTTTTTTAATTTTTTGTCATTTTTGTCTCAATTTGAGCGAAATTCACATTTTTTTAAATTTCGTCAATAATTGGAAGTACTGAAAAAGTACTGAATTTTTCTGTTGCAAAGGTGCTGAATTTCTTGGGAATGTACTGAAAAAGTTCTGTAAAAGTACTGATTTTTGGTTGGCCTGTTTTAGTAGACACCCTGGTTAGTTAGTTAGTTAGTTAGTTAGTTAATTTATTCAGAGACAGTCAGCATCTCAGGCTATCAATGTCTCTACAAAGAATATGAAAGATGGGTGGATATAGCAAGTGAAACTGAGCGGTGTTGTATGTGGGTTTCAGCTGTTGAACGAGCAGCTGACGTTGGTGAACTGGGCGCCGGTGATGCACCCGCGGTGCTCGCACCTGATCGCGGCCTACGACGAGCGGATCATCGTGTCGCAGTTCAAGTTCGGGGTCCTCTACCAGCGGCCCGGGCAGATCACCGAGGAGCAGATCTTCTGCAACCGACACTCCTCGCCCGCCTTCGACGAGTTCCTCCATGTCCTCGGACAGCGCATCCAGCTCAAGGACCACAAAGGGTGAGTTTCCTGCTTCATCCCTCAATGAAAAAATTAATCCTTCTCGCCCTCATTTCGCCGAGTAGGCCAAAAACATACACCTGAGTTCGAAAAGTTGCATCTTCGTTCATTGCACTCTTATGCTTAGGAAGTAGTTCCCTGCCTATCTCCGCAACGAGCAGGTGGATCCATTTCGCCTTCATTTTGGCAAGTGGGCCTAAAAATACACCCAAGTTTCGAATAAATGCATCTTTATTCATTGCACTCTTATGTAGGAAGTAGTTCCCTGCCTATCTCCGCAACGAGCAGGTGGATCCATTTTGGCAAGTAGGCCCAAAAATACACCCAAGTTTCGAATAAATGCATCTTTATTCATTGCACTCTTATATAAGAAGTAGTTACCTGCCTATCTCCGCAACGAGCAGGTGGATCCATTTCGCCATTTTACTGAGTAGGCCAGAAACATGCACCCGAGTTCGAATAGTTGCACCTTCGTTCATTGCTCGTTTATGTAGTAAGTATTTCCCTGCCCAGCTCCTCGACGAATGAGTCAGTTCATTTCGCCTTCATTTTAGCGAGTAGGCCAAAAACTGACACTTGAGTTCGAATAGTTGCATCTTCGTTCATTGCACTCTTATGCATAGGTAGTAGTTCCCTGCCTATCTCTTGGACGAACAAGTCAATCCATTTCGCCTTCATGCTGGCGAGTAGGCCAAAAACTGACCCACGAGTTCGAATAGTTGCATCCTTTGTTCATGGGCACTTCTATGTAGGATCTAAATCATAGTGTGTAAGTTTCCTGCGTGCCTAGCTCCTCAACGAACAGGTCAATCCATTTCGCCGTCATTTCGGCCTTATTACCATAGAAACCTATGGCCTTAAAGTTCCAGATACTGATCTATAAACTATAAAACTTCAGTTATAGAAGATTTCGAAGTTTAATTTTCTCGTTGTGAATTTTCAGTTACCGAGGAGGTCTGGACACACAGTTCGGTCAGACGGGTGACGAGGCTGTTTACCACGTTTACAAGGACCGAGAAGTCATGTTCCACGTCTCCACCCTCCTACCGTACACAGAGAACGATCCTCAGCAGCTTCAAAGGAAAAGGCACATAGGTAAGTCCACCAAACGAAATTTATTTTTGAACCGTGGGGTCCTCCCCCTGGTTGCTATGCGGCCCAACCCTCAACAAGCACCTCACGCGCATTGAAAAACATGCGTTTTAATTCGAAAATCTCAAGGGAACAAACTTCTCTGGCATTTTGTATCTACCGTTAGCCGAAAATTGTCGAATAGGGGGATGGATCTCTGTATTGATGACTGAAGTCGAGAACTGTGCTCTGATTGTGCGTCGTAAATCAGCACTTGTGTTACTTTTTCAAAAGATCACCAACCAAAAGTTCCTCTTGAAATTTTACGTCGAATTTCCCACTCATTTCAGCGTATGTACCTATTCACAGAAAATTCTAAAAATGTATTTTGTTCAGTTTCCTTTAAAATAAAATAAAACATTATCGGATATTTTGAAAAACGCAGTGGGTATGCTTATTTTTTGGCAGAGGACATCAATCGACATGATATCCACAATTCTGATGAAAATAAAAATTTGAGGAATCTATATGGTATCAAACATATGACTTATCGACTCTCAAGGGTAAAAAATTGTCACTCCTCTCAGTTTCTGACGATCGGGTTCTTAAATCTGGTATGAACTTTTTTGTTTTGTTTATGGTATGTTTTTCTGACACAATCTCAACCGGCATCGTCGTAAAACGCCCGGCCTAGAATTTGACAGTCTCTCAGGGAGTCATTGTCTCCCTGCTACTGAGGATTGAGACACTCCCCGACATGCCTGCATTCTTGCGTGTGCCGGTGGCAATCGGTCCCCAGACCATGACTCTTTGGAAGTTCGCTTCGGAAGCTCAACTTTGACCCTCGCGCGACCGAAAGTGTGTCGGTGACAAAGCATAGCTGTTACACACGAAGGAGGGGAGGGGTCGACATTTTGTTGTACCGATAGACAAGAATGTGTTCCTTTGAACTTTGTTGCCCGAGGGATTTCCTCCCGCTATTTTAGGTACAAGTAGGTATTTGGTGAGGCTATGTCTCTTCACAACGTCTATAGTAACACAGTCCGTTAAATAATGTGTAAAATAATGTGAACGGGTAATTTTTACAAGCTTTAAAATTGCACCCTCCCCCCCACCATAAAAAAAAATTGAGTAGTGAGCTGGATTTGTTACATATATTTGTAGTATTTTCTGATGTAAATTTGTGTTTAACTTTAAAATTTTCTCACGAAAAATCGTTTTTCTTACTGTTCACAGGAAACGACATTGTAGCCATCGTTTTTCAAGAAGCTAACACACCATTTTCTCCTGACATGATCGCATCTCATTTCCTTCATGCATTTATTGTAGTTCAACCAATCGACCCATGCACCCCTGATACAAGGTATGTTACAAGGTGCACCAGCCAAGGGGCATACTTTAAATTCTTTAGTGTAATCAGGAGTATGCAGGTGTCTTTAGAGATCAAGTTTTTTAATTCCATGCGCTCAACTTCCCCAATCAGAAAAATTATAGTTTAATTAATTAAAATTATGAATCCATCATTGGACAATTTCTATCATACATCAGCAATGCAATGAAAAAAATGATGAAATTTCAACTTTTTTTTTTTTTTTTTCTTGGAGGATGACAATACTTCCTCTCTACTCTAGGGGAGCGAGAAAGTAAAAATCACCTATTTCTTTGTAACTGACAGGGGTTTTATTTTATCTTAAAACTAATGCCTAACAGTTAAAGTATAGTGAATAAATTAATTGAAAGTAACTTAGGACAGGATATCAAAAATCTCTGCTTTACAATCTCTTCATAGGCAATCTGTGCTTTGCTATACATAAAACCAGGTGCTCAAAAGTTAGATAAAGACGTAAGTATATCAGATTATATTTATTTCTATAAAAAAATGCTGATTTATCATTCTCTATTTTTAATCAGACTTAATTACCTTCGAATTTAAAATAATTCATCCCCAATATTATTTAAACAATTCATTACTGTTTTTTATTTTTCCACAGGTACAAAATTAGTGTTGCTGCAAGAGATGACGTTCCATTCTTTGGACCCAGTTTACCAAATCCTCCTATCATCAGGCGAGGTGCAGAGTTACGGGATTTCTTACTCACAAAATTAATAAATGCCGAAACCGCCTGCTACAAAGCCGACAAGTTTGCAAAACTTGAAGTGAGTAAATGATCTCTCATCCTTTTTTATTTTTCAGTTTCGATTAAGTAATTTTAGATGATGAAATAAATAAATAAATAAAAAAAAAAAAACACTCAAAATGAAATAATTGCTCAAGCAGTTGTGTAAAATAAAAATTTCAATAACTGATGTAATTAGGTTAATTGATGCATTTAAATTTCACGTATCTGCTAATTTATAGTATGACTCATCTAAGGTTTTTGCGACAAAACTAATAAATATCACAGGCACTAAGTTAAATTTTCTCAGTGGGGCACTGAGTTGAATTGATATTTCATTTTTATTATTATATATTAATATTTATTAGATATTAATAACTTTGTTTGACTTATTTCAGCTGAGGACAAGAGCATCCCTCTTGAGTTCTCTTTGCGATGAGTTGAAAGAGAAGACAAGGGAATTTCTCGGTGGGGAATCCACGGAGTCTGTGAATGAATCTCATCGATCGGAGAGTAACGGAGCTGGCAGCCGATTTATAGACACTGTCCGGAAAGCTCTCATTGCTCGAGTGCGAAATCAGAATCAAGAGACAAATAACAACAATACCAATAATAACAATAACACATTAAATGGAATGAAGAAAAGTGTGACCCCAACCGAAACACCAACAGTTGTAAGTATTAAAAATGTTTACCTAATCTATTGTATTTTCCAAATCTATAGATTTCATTGAATACTATGAATACAAGGGCTTAAGTCAGTGTTTTGTCTCTGGATTTTATTTTCAATTTTTGGATTATTAATCCCCCCTTGTGTGCGCTAGGTAAATATTAATTTTCACCAGACAAAGTATGTTTTCTCCTATTTTTGGAATTAATTTTCCTAAAATAATTCCATAAAATTTTCATCCTCACCATTGTTTGCATCTTGTGAAAGGACATACCTACCTATCATTAAATTTGTTCGTTTAAAATCATTTTTAGTCAATTCAATTGAAGTAACCTTTTAAAATCCAAATACATATTGACATTCACCACATTTTCAAATTTCAGTTGGCACCATCATGATTCTAATATGTTTAACAAGTGAATATTAACGCCTTGTAATTTTTTCAGAATGGACGAAATTCACTCTCAAAAAGCAGTATTGGAAGCAGAAAAAGTGCCCCGCCTTCTCCTCCCTCTAGTCCAGACATTCGCCCCACTCGATCGCAGAGGTAATGATCATTTTTATTATTTTACTTATCATCAATGATTATAAATATCCAAGGAAATTCAAGAAAATGGACAGCATGAATTGACACTTATAGAATCTTCCAACCATCCGATGAACTTGCGATTTCAATTTGATCTAACCAAAAATGCTACAAGAATTCAATAATTATCAGTTTTTTCTGCAGCGTGGAATTTGAGTAGGGAGTTCAGTTCTATGTTTGGTGGTTAAATTATAGACATGGCTGATCTAATCTGATTGTAAATTCTATATTTTTTTTTTGCCATTGTGTTAAATGACTAAAAATTTTCCTTGTGTTTTTTTTTTCTATGCAGTGCAGAGTGGTTCTCAATGTATTCTCATACTAGAAAATCAATTATTTTTACAAATTATTGATCTCTGCCCCTGGATCCTAGTCCTTACATTTTATTTTGTCGTTTTAGGATGGGACTGTGTTCCAGTGAGTCCTCATCTTTAAGTTCTGTCGATCTTGGTGGTGGCGGCGGCGGCGGAGCTGGAGACAGTGATACAGGGCTGGAAAGTCTCTCCTCAGCAGAAACGCCCCAGCAGCAGTGTGCCCTGACACATGAAATAACTCGTTTAAAGTGTGATAAATTAGATTTACTACGGCAGAATGTGGTAAGTTAAAAAGATATTTCCTATCTCAAAAGATTTTCAAATTATTCAGTGACTGGAAGTGAGAACTGTAGGTTCATATTTTCCATGTATTTTTTATACAAATGCATCGCATCAAGCGAGTTAAGAAACATACCTAATCTCTTTTGGTGTAGTACCTAGTCATGTGTTTTCATGTGTAGACCAAAGAATTTCTACACCAACCAGAGAAAAACCGTAGGGAGGAGGAAGTGGGTACTCTGTTAGGAGCATTAACAAAAGTAAACTTCTCTGGAGTCCGTGGAATTACAGTCAATTTTCTGGGGAAACCGGAGACTCAAGACATCAGCTGTAGTCCAACTTTGCTGTTTTTCATGGGTATTAAATTTAATAGGATAATATGATATGTAATAATTCTTGTTGTTTCTAATTGAAATGTAAAGTTATCATTGAGAGTAAAAGGTTTCTTAATTTGACACAAACAGTCCCCAGAGACTAATCCTGTGCTTGATTACCCTCCTAATGCTGTAATCAGCTATCAGCCTCATGTAACTTTTTACTGACACTGGCATTACCAAGATCCATCACAAAACTCGGGTCTCCGGATAGGTAATTGAATCTTGGACCTCCTAATTTTAGGCGAAGGGCTTCAACCACCACATTTCAAGCGGCCAACTTATGTATAAGGTTTTGGTCCAAAATGGCTTCAATGATTTAAAGTTTGTCAACCCTGGTATCTTTCATGTATTTTATTAGCATCCTTTGTTTTCGCAAATTTATCCTAAAGTTTTTTTTTTTTGCTGTTTCAGACGTGTCAAAGAGAAATTAAAAGACTTAGAGAAAAAGAACTTCAGTTGTTGTCAGACCTAGATGCCGCATCAAAAGAAATCTTGAGGCTGCGGGGCTTACTAAAAGACTTCTCCACTTGCAATATCGAAGGATCACCCGTCTAAGAAATATTGTACTATTTAAATTATTTATAAATGTATAGTGTTCAGACATTTGTTATTTCCTTTCTGTAATATTTTGTTTCAATTGTTTTGTTCAGTTTTGAGTAATTTTATTTTTGCAGACACAGTGTTCTGGACGCACCTTTTTCAATTCATTTCTGAAATGAATCTTCTCAAAATATTTCAAAGACTCAAAGTCATGGAAATGACTTAAATTGTCTGTTGTTCGGTTAAAATGACATCACTTGTGAAGATCTGTTCCTTGAAGAAACATTTTCAGTTTTTTTTAATTGTTTTGAAGTATCTTTTGGTTTTCAAGATACATGAAGATTATTTTATATTTTTTGACTTTATTCAGCCAAAAGACTAGAGACTTATCATGAACCATGATAAAAAGCAAGGAGAGGCAATTTAAGTTTTTTGCCTCATTTTTTTTCTTTTGAAAAGAGCATCATGATGTAGAAAAAAAAAATCCCTAATGCATTCTTATCACTTCTACTGAACTCAAGTGGCATTTATAAATTGTGCATCTTATTTTTACACTATATACGCAAGTCGGAAATAGAAGTGGTCTAGCTCAATTGCAGCATTTCAGAATTTCACTGAACTTCAATTTTTTATTAAAGAACTCTTAACTCACTGAACCTATCCTTTTCCACATTGCCAAAAAAAATAACTGCATTTTCTGCAGTAGGTATCGGTTTTATATTATGTCACGTTATATTTTAAATAAACTAGTTGCAGAAATGTGGAAATTTTGCAATGGAGCTATACTTCATTTACAACCAACGACTCAAATGAGAGATCATTTAAAGTTTCATCAGACATATCATTTTCTCAAAAGTCCAAATTTTTTATAAAATTTTCTGTAAGTGATATTTGTCACTCCCAATTTTTCTCTGATGTACGTAAGAATTTTTTATTTACAACAGCACTAACAAGTCAATTTCTTTCTCAAGACTCAAAAACTGTTCTCTGCTCAATAGGCTATTTCTTCAAAATATTTGGCTTTGATTGTATAATTTTTTAGACTATCCGGGGAATAGTTATAGACCAGAAATTTAACATTACGGATTGCACTATATTTCTTTTATTTAACGAAAGATTTTCTATCTGAACGTACCATGGACACATAAAGTAATTTTCTCATGTAAATAATTTTTATATTAAGTCTGTCAGCACCAACCTTATGACCTTTTGCAAATTCACTTATTTTAATTTTAAGCGCATATTGTTACTTTACGTCAATTTTGAGTTTTTATCATCGCTTCAGGATGTCCATTAAGCCAGTTTCAATATATATTCACATTAAACGTTTATTTTCTCTCCTACTTATGTGCTACAACTAAATTGGAGAGTCAATATTGATACTCAAACTAGAAAAACACATATTTCAATCAAGGTGTTTCAAAATTTCAGCTCATTTTTTAAAGTTTCTCGGAGAATATTCACCAATGTTTTGGCTGCAATTTTCGGAAGGCAAAAGTCACACCATGTTCCATACAGTAACATCAAATAAAACTTCAAAATTGCTGAGGAGTCCGTAAAAAAAACAGTCAATTAGATGAGAAACAGTACAGAGAAAAAGCAATGAGGAAAAGAAATCCGTGTAGTAATATAATTCATTTTATCCTGAGAAACTCCTATTTTTCAAAAAGTAAAACAACTTATCCCAACGAGAAGCAAGCCATCATGATCTGAGGTCTATGTTTTTCTAGTTTCATAATCAAAATTCAATCCCTGGTTAAATTCAATTTATGAGAATCTTTTCAACCATCCTGACTATAAGTGTACTGAAAACTTACATTTGATGTCTAATTTTTTCCCCGGGCCATAGGATCTGAATATTTGTCCCTTCACAGCCACTAACCTCTCCCTACAGTTTTCTTCTTTCGTAACTTCGATGATGGAGAATACTGAAGTATCTTGTATCTCAGGCATTATAGTGTATTTCTTTCATTTTTCAACGAAAACAATATTGCCTACGTACCATTTGGAAGGAGCCCTTATTTTCCGAATGAGGTTTACATCATAGAAAATGAGTTGCCTCTTCCCCTTTGCTGAAAGATTTTATTGGCAACTAATTTATTTGAACTTCATAGTGTCATGAAAAGCAACATTTTTCTCCAAAAACTAGAGTATTTGCGATCTTTTTGCAGTATTGGGTCATCTCCTGGAAAGATTCTTTATCAATGCAGATACTGCGGAATGAAATTAAATGTTCGAATCTAACCACAATCTGTCCAAGAGTGATAATATTAGCATTTTATTTAAGGCATGAAAAAAACAGTGTCAAACAGTTCTTGGTTGCCCCTTTAGTTAGCCTCAATCAGACTGGTCCCCATAATCTTTTTAAATACTCAGGTCCTTATACCATGCCTGTTATTCCAGATAATTTTTCTCCCTCTCTCAAAGGTCTCTTCACAGTTTTCTATAAGTTACCAGATCTATCTCTTCTTACGGGTATTTCATGTAATTTTCATGTATTTTTGCTTCATTATCTGACCCACATGAAAGGGTTAATTTTCATTTTTGCTGTTATTCAGAGCTATAGAAACTTACACAAAACGTAAAGATACATTATTTTACAGTATGATACGTGTTGCGATGAGTCAAAGGGCCTTTAACTGTCAGAGAAATTTTTTTATTGATGGTGATCTGTAAACAATTTTTGTCGTACATACTAACTTCACCTTTCCTCTCATTCCCAAAATTTCCTTTTAGGAAAAGGTGTTGCCAATTGTTCTTAGCAGAGAGAGAGCATTCATACAGGATAAAAACAGCCAAGTCTAGGTATTTTCTACTCTTTCAAGCATAAGTACCCTCTCAACCAACATCTAAATTTAGATTTGTTTGGAATCTAGTTGAGGCCCTGTTGTCAAACATATCACGTATTAAATCTGCTCAAATAAATCTTTCTAAAATTCAATCCTTAAAAATTAAAATGATGTTTGAACATATTTGCTCAATACTAGGTTTGATCATGTTTGCCACTGAAGCAGTTCAAACTTCCCAATATTCAAATGTTCAGCCTAGCTGCGCATCTTGAGCTTGTAATCGTTGGTAACATCTTACTTTGTGAATCTTTCATCTTCGATCTTTTTTTACATGCATTTGATTCATGTAATGACACTAAGACAGTAAGCTTGCTTTTTGAAGAACATGTTTTCTCTTGTACACTTATACTTGTATGTGTGCGTTATTCCCAGAATTTCTGTTAAGTAGTGAATTTTTTTGTTTTGTTTGAACAATGATTTAATCACTGTCCCGACTTCATTTAGGTACTTAAAAGTAAGAGCTCTTTCTTAAAATAATGCGCGCAGTACAAAACCAGTGCACAAAAAAGATGATTTAAAATAATTCTTTGGTTTTCATTATTCTCTACTGGTTATAGTTTCTATTTCTTTTACAACTTCTCCACCATTCAAACTTCTGACTGTTTGGTCCTGTATAATGGATGGATACGTCCAACCTTACAAGATACTGTAAATAAAAACAAAGTTGATCTATTTTGAATGAATTGTATTAACTGTTAACAACAGTTCTAACTGTTATGTACAATTAGTGTACAGAGAGACTAGCTGCGTAACTTAACTTAAGCATTATTTGTATAGGTCAAGTTAACTTTTTCTCTTTTTTTTTTAAAAAAAAATTGTACATACTGTAATTGTACTGCAAGCATATACCAAAGGTTATTAAAGTAATGTCTCACATTCCTTGTGTTTTCAAGCTAACATTTGACTTTTTCATTCTATATACCATCCTCTCTAAAGAAATTAATAAAAAGAAGAAGCTTCTACAAAGAAGTTTTTTTAAAGTGGTTCTTCTCAGTAGGAAGAGCTCAAGTTTTCTGGAAACCATAGAGCCTGGTTCTTGATAAAAAATGAACAAGTAAAAATTCCATGACTCATTAAAATTAAAATTGTTGGCATAAAAGAGTTTTTACAGGAATCAACATAAACTTCAGCCAGCAACTTTTATAAAAAAATGACTTTTTTAAAAATTGTTTCCTCCAGCCAAATGCTGCTTAAATTTTGATAGATTTTCCTTATAATTCCTTCAAATCTTTCTTGAAAAACGAAAGATATTCAACAGGAAAAAGTGAATAATATGACCATCATGCCTACCAACGGTCAACTTTTGGAAAACCAACTGACCGTAAGCCAATTCAGGCATTCATGGTACTACTTTCGAACAATAAACTTCTCTCTACCATTATCCTCATCTTCGAAATTTTCATTAATTCTGTAAGAACTCATCTCAAGTATTTTAAAATTCCATTGAATCAGTGTTACCTACTCCGAAACCCCAAATCACAAGGTGGTTGGAAATTTTAAGAACTTTTATGATGTCCGAATGATGCTAACTTTCTGAAGTGTATCCACAGCTCCTGGCTCTAACTTCTTTCTCAAGTCCTTAGGCATTGGCTCCAATGAGTAAAAGTCTGATCTTACACGGTCCAGTGCTGAAACAAAATGAAATAATGACCAAATAAAAATTAATTTACAGTTTTTACCAGTTATTAAACCAAAAATGAGACTTCATCCTCTAAATTTTGCCCGAGCAGATATGAGGTGAAGGTCAACTAACTACTTCATTGGCTGGACTATCATTCCAATATAATTTTACAAACCTTTGATAGAACCTTAAATTGAAGATTGTTTAGTCGCTGCAAATCCATTTTTCCATTGTTTGGATATTCAACTCAATTTTTAATAAAGGCAAAATTAATTTTCTCTCTCAAAGCTTCTTATGGCTTCTTATGTGTTTCACTTTTAATGGTGAAAGTGTGTACGCTGTACACGCCCTCTGAAAACACACTAAACCAGGGGGCAGATCCCTCTAGTACACTAAAAATATAGAATATGGCATTCATTCAGCAATTTTTTCAAAACACACCAATCTCGTTTATAAAAGACGATCAGTTCAGTTTTTCAGATTCAAGTACCCCTGGAATTAGTTCTTTATCAAAAACAGATTTAGAGGGGAAAAAATATCATTTGGCACTTCTACCGAATAAACCTTTCAAGAGTGAAATCAATTGTACACGGACAAATTAATTTCCAAAAAAACCAGGTCCCTTTCAATAAAACGAGAACAAGAGGAAATAGGAACCTTTTATAGTCCAAAGTGATTCACGAGAAGTTTGGTTCTCTCGATTAGAGTAGCTGGGAATATTGTGAAGAGGGAGGGGGGGAGGGGCAAGGGCCTCTTTAGCCCCCACAGTGATCTAATCATTTTGAGCAACAACACAACATACGATCACGATCACAACCTAGGGCGAGGGGCCCCTCTAATCACGTCCGTGCAATCAGCAAAACTCAGGTCAAAATGAAATGGTCAAAAGCTGTCAAAAACACGACTTCCACTTTTTGAATGCCCCGAAAAGCCGCTAAGCGTTCGGCACTCGAGTCTATGTCCCACAGTGCGTGGGATCCGTCAATCATCTCAAAAATGTATACCTGTCCAAAGTCGCAAAAATGAGCAAAGGATTACATCGAGTAAAATTTCGAAGTAAAAATAACACATTTCCCAATTACACTAGAAAAAAACCAGTCTCTTGGAAAATGGCTAGGATACATACTTTCCTTTGGTTCAAAATGCTTTACGGGGTGTATGGACTCTTACAATTAGCAAAATCCAGGTCAAAGTGAAGTCATAGCAACAATAATATGTAAAAAAACATGCCTCCCCTCGTCTGCGTTTGGAATTAGCACCTGTGGATCTCATGATAGGTTTAGCCCTTCCCCTCGTATTAAAAAAAAAAAAAAAAAAAAAAAAAAAAAAAAAAAAAACCAGCCACTCCAAATGAGATCACGTAGATCACCTCAGTCACTTACCTTTTTCTAAAGTCATATCGTCCATTTCACTGTTTTGAATCATCCTGAGATGTTTTTGGAATTTCCTGGCAATTTTATTCCGTATGTAATCGGCCTCTATTTCTTGTTTTGTCCGCGGAATCCGAAATTTAGTGCAGCAGCAGAGAATAATGATGCCTGTAAGGAATCAGTAATCAGAATAATTACTGCAAAGCGCTGTCTGCGATACACTTTAACATAAAGCAGTTAGTTACTCGGAAAAAAAGTCGATCGTCCGGTCCGGAAAAGAAGGCGGTCCGCCTTCTTTTTTTAGGATATGCAACTAATCTAGCAGCCTCTGTTGTATCAGCGGCCTTCTGTGAGACATTTTGCATTCCTTAAAATTGAAGGAGCGTTGAAGCACCAAAACTCTACATCGAGAGAGTGGGTTATAGGTAATGTTGTGCCAAAAAGAAACTAGTACTTTGGAGTTCGAGGATTCAAGGAGCAATATTCTAAGCTGATTAATTTTCCCGCGCAAGATTTGTGGAGGGACCAGAATTTAAAATTAATTTAGAATTGGTGTGATTAAATGTACCTAATAGCCAAAATAATTTTTACAGCATGGTCTTTCCAGCACGTTGTCGCACACATGGTTCATGTTTAGCCGCACACACACATTTTCATGCATGCACCATGAAAATGAAACATCGAATCGATACTAGTTAGATTTGATGGGGCAATTAGATTATGATAAACTAAACTGTGTAGTTATTTTTAACCAAATGTCTCCAGTTCCATTTTGAGGTTTCTTAGAATCAAATACCTTTTGCGGTCAAGCTCCTAAGGGCTTCTCGCGTAAAACGGCACATTAGAAAATGCACTGGACAAGAGGCTTGCCTCATTGAAATAAGGTTCAGATAGCGACAGTAAGACTCCCAAACAGGGTGGCATGAAACGTAAGAAACAAATGAAAGATTGGAAATTTTCATTTAAATATTTCATAAAATTTACGAAGCTGTGTAGGTAATATTTCACATTTTTCAGGGGCTATAATATGCCTTCCTGCCTTCAAACAAAAACAAAAAAAAAATAAAAGAAAGTCACAATTTTTACATTCTGCGAAACATGAAAAGGAACCGGTATTTTTCAATATCTTTCATAAAGTTCTGAAATTTCATGAAATGTTTCGCGTGAAATTTCAAGATTTTATTTTTCATAAAATTTTGCCACCCTACTCTCAAACCACGTTTCTCGGTTTGCGACATTGCCGACTTCCTTCCGTAATTCCTCAAAGGCAGAACTACTTTTTTGAAAACTTCCGTGATTTTTCCTCTTTGTGTGAAGAGAATGCTGCGTAACTTCAAGAAATGTCGCTGATTTGTTCTCTTTTAATTTTTTAAAAAAAAGTAAAATGGGGACGGGAAGTTTAAAACACTGCAAACGAGATTCGCGGTTCGGGAGTCTTTGGATATTTGGCGCTGTCACGAAGTTGTTCCTGACACAGCCTCGCGGGGAGGATCCATCATATCAGTGGCGTGGCGTGAATGATCGATTATCGATATCTCGCCATTTAAAGCTGCGAACACCTTGATATTCGATCTTTTTTCATAGGTTTGAGTGGCGTATCAATCGATATATCGTAAAGCACGCCACGCCACTGCATCATATTTTAAGAAAGTAGGTTTCATCTACTGAGTCTCGATGGTATTATCAAAACCACAAACCTGTCGTGAAGGTCGTCACAATTGCCACCAGAACATACCAAGTGCCGAAATTATACAAAATGAGCTGATCGACCAAAGATGGCTTCGTGGTCTCATTGAATGGTTTCTGAAACCAGATTTCAATCCATGCTTCAACTAAGATATGAAATAAAAGAACGACACGATATATTTTTCGGTGCTGGGCTGAAAGGAGCCAACCCTTGTTTTAAAAAAAAATCGAAGCAAGCATAAGAGTTCCTAAGGAACCTAACCTAACTCGAAAAGTCGAGAAAATCGTATGAAAATAGGGATTCAACTTTATTAAACGTTGAATTCGCAAGTACTATAATAGTAATAATGCAATTACGCACAAGCATTCTGGCTTCCTTTTTGAAAATTTATGGCAGATGCGTTTCGCCCCTCCCCCAAATGGAACTTTTCTAGTGCCGAAACTAACGCTGAAATACTAAAATCACTAAAAAATCGGTCGATTTTTATTTATTCTAGTGTTTCTTTTAAAAATGTGATACGAACTTTTGAAATATGCCCAATTTCGCGAGGACAATCGAAGGATTTTTAGCGTTTTTAGTATTTTAGCGTTAGTTTCGGCACTAAAAAAGCCCCATATGTGGTGGCGAAACGCGCGTCTGCCATGAATTTTCAAAAAGGACGCCAGAATACTCGTGAATAATTGCATTATTGAACTTTCTTCTTTTAATCGAGTGTCATGGAGGGAAAAAATTTCAACCCTTTCTCTTTCTCCCTCTCGATTCCACCTTAATGTATTATCATACACCTTAATGTATTAGCAGGGAGGAATTATCATTCCTCCCTGCTTCGGTTGCGAGTGACACAAAAAGAGAGTTCTCGAAAGGGCATTTAAATTGAAGAATACAAATTTAGATAGTTTAATAACCACCCGAACGAGGTTGCTTGATAAAGCGCACTTTTCAATCCTCTCCTAATTATTATTACTGGCAATACTTTTCACGAACATGCCAAGGGATTATCCTTGTAACCTTTAGTATCTAAATGTTGAATTGTACACTTTTACAAGGTCGGATTTTCAACGGTATTTGGTGAGCTTTAATCAATTGAAAGTGGGCCACGTACCTCATGATACACTCCACTATAGTCACTCATGTTGGACTGAGCTACACGTCCAAAGCTAGACGCGAAGCTCGTTTTTGAGGCCACACCCTTTAGTCAATTCATTTGTGTCCTCCCTTATCCGCACCCCACCCGCTCCACCCTACGAAGCACCACCTTCGAACCCCGGAAATTAACTTAGTAATTTCCAGATTGACTTTTCTAACCTTTGTATCGTTAATTCTATCACCTACTCCCCCGCTACAAGAGTGAGGAAACCTTTGGTGATTTCTTTAATACTTAGACTTCTTCTAAACGACTGTCGCAAACAAAACGTTAAATATAGGTCTTGCCAAGCCTGGGTTAGGGATTTACCAACTGAAAACATACGAGATAGTATAATTTTTCGAGGGATGCAATGAACCCATTGATTTTCGCGGAAACAGAGCTAGTCCCGTTTGAAACGATGCGTCGAGTTCGATTTTCCGGCCTAAAGTACTTCACGATTTCATTGCAGTTCAAAAATGGCAAATAAGCTGGTGAGTCCTCAAATACAGTTACAACGTTCGAAACCACCAGGGCCGGATTTTTGCCTACTTGCCGCCCATGGACCACTAGTATTTTGTCGCCCCCTTCTCATTTGTTTTGAAACATCAATGGAAACTATTAAATGAACGTGCCAGCGGGGTAGGGGTGCATAAGACGCGTTTACAGGTGTTGAACACATTTTTTGGGAGAGCCCTGCCAACACTACTAGCTAAAGTTCACGGAACTTTCCGCGAAAGTTAACTGTCGCAAACCTATCTCTGTGTGGACAAGGCCTTCCATTCATCAGAAATGAACGAAAAAATTATGAAAGAACAAACATATATGTGGATAAATGATTTTAACTTCCGCCGCCGCATTGTGTTTGACGCAATGCGTGAGGTATTCATGCATTCTTGTAGGCCCTATCCGTTTCACGCTGTCCGCAATGACCGCATTGTGTTTGATGCAATGCGTGAAGTATTCGTGCAGTCTTGTAGGCGCTAATAAGTGTTACACGCCGATCGCCTCCTTGGTAATGACCCGCTGAGACCGATTGTCTAATCCAAAATGCTCCGCGAGTCCGGTGGCTTGCTCAACTTGCGAAAAACGCGCGGGAGGGGAACTTTTGTCACTTTTCTCGGTTCTAAAAGCACCGGCGAGTTTTGGGACCATGCGCAATCGACTTTAGACTTGCTATCGAATACGACAAATCATGCAGAATTTAAGTTTTTTGTTGACCAGCTTCTCGAAAGAAAAATAAAATTTCTATGGAAGTCTGCAACGTCGCAAATGGAGAAACGTCGTCTCGCAATTTGCCCAAAAATATGAATGCATACTCGTAATTTTGAAGGCATTATGACTTTCCTCTCTCAACTTATATTCGTCTGTAACGATAAACAATGGGACGCGTTTGCTTACGGCGCAGTGATACAACTATACAACCTCGACGGATGTCCGTACTGCGTGCGAAAAATTGAAGGCGTTTTGACTCCCTGCTCATACTACCTGTAGTCTGTAGTTGATTCGATCGAGAGACGCGTTGGTCGGCGGTGACGAGGACTTGATGCTACCATTTGAACTTGATGGGTGTCCGTATCGCACCGACTGAAGTGCAAAACCACGTATCTCCATTGCGGTGTTTCAAAATTTCATTTCTTATTTCATCTCTTCCATGAGAAACATTCCAAATTTACGACTTTAGATTTTGAACCAAATCTTCTGCTATCGAATACGAAAAACCATGGAGAATTTAAGTTTTATGTTCACCACCTTTTCGAAAGAAAAATAAAATTTCTAAGGAAGTCTGCAACGTCGCAAATGGAGAAACGTCGTCTCGCAATTTGCCCAAAAATATGTATGCATACTCGTAAATTTGAAGGCATTATGACTTTCCTCTCTCAACTTATATTCGTCTGTAACGATAAACAATGGGACACGTTTGCTTACGGCGCAGTGATACAACTATACAACCTCGACGGATGTCCGTATTGCGTGCGAAAAATTGAAGGCGTTTTGACTCCCTGCTCATACTACCTGTAGTTGATTCGATCGAGAGACGCGTTGGTCGGCGGTGACGGGGACTTGTATGACGAGAGCGAATCACGCAACTGGAAGTCTAGAAATCAAATTCGAAACAATATATAAGTATTTACAATTAACATCCGTTATAAGGGAAAAATACAAATTACGTCATCTTTAGAATCAAGCCTCCATTTGACTTGTGCTAAAAATATTTGCGATAATAAATCATCTAGGAGTTGATTTCTGAAACGCCCGTTATATGATCCGTTTTCTATGAAAGATTTTGACGAGAAACTATGAGACGTTAATTTCTAGTTCAGACCCTGTCCAGTGGCCCATTGACGCAAGACCGATTTTCATCGAATTTCTTCATTGCAACCGCTTGTCGCCTGCTGAGCGGAATTTTCAAATGAAAATTTTCGATCGAGATCCTTGCTCGTCAGTTTTACCATCGAAGCGTGCTTATTAGTGTACAAAAAAATAGTTCAGGAGCATTCTAAACTGTCAAAATTCTCAATCAATCCAATCTACCGCCCCAAATATTAGTGATCGCTACAAGTTGCGATTTAATCGGAGAATGTACGAGTATCACAATTTGATCGACGTCAATTGATTGCAATATTAGATATATCCGATGAAAAATTGCGATGAATTGCAATTTCGTCCAAAGTGCGAAACCACCTATCTCCATTGTGGTATTTTAAAAAATCCGCTCCAATTTCTGTTTTTCAAAAGCAAAAGTCAAAATTAATTCTTGAATTTTAGAACGAATTATTTGCTAACGAAGAGGAAAAATCACAAGAGTTAAAGAGTTTTTTCGTCTAGTGTGTTTTTACATAAAACGCCTCTGAAAGAGTTAAGGCTCCCTCAAATCTTCGGTATTTTCCTGATTTTGGTCATGATCTTAGACCCTCACTCGTTCAACGAAGTCAACCGGGAGAAGGTAATAAAAATGACCTTCCCCCTAACGCCTTGCCCCCATGGGACGTTTCACGGGATTTTTCCCATACTGGAAAAAAAACACATTGGATCTAGAGTCCAGACTCTTAAAAACATCGACAAGAAAAAATACTCTTGATTCAATCAGATTTAAGCTTGAATCAAGAACCAAGCCTCTTAATTTGAGCGGATTTCCTTTTGATTTAAGCTTAAATGTGATTGAATCAAGAGTCCTTTTTCTTGTCAATGTTTTCAAGAGTCTGGACTCTAGATCCAATGTGTTTTTTTTTCCAGTGCAAGTTCGAATCGCAGAAATGAAACTTCTGGGCTTGCTTCCCGTTAAATATCACAACACAATTTCTTCTTCTTCATTTTAAGTCGTTTCTGGGACTCCACAATGACTCTTAATTGTCACTGTGATTAGTATTGACTAACTCAACATTTTTCCCAACTTCGCAAGTGAGATTTTTCCCTGAAACAAATCCCATGAAACGTTCCGTGGAGATAAGGCCTTAACTGGAGCGCGTTAAAATCATTCACGACCGAAAAAAATCGAAATTTCAAGTCAAAAGAAGATAGCAGGCGGTCTCACATTTTTTCAGGTTAAATAACTGACCCCCTTGAACCCGCTGAAATCCTCATTCACCTTGCTATTTCGATATCTTAGAGGCCATGGATGAATTCAACTCTAAAATTTTTGAGTATTAGCCATTTTTCGTAAGTTTTGGTTCATAACCGTAACCAAAATTCAGAAAAGGGGATGATTTTCTCTAAAAATGTAGGGGGAGGGGCGTAGCTTCGACTGGGGGTGCTTTGGACAAAAACCATAAGAGGGTGTTAATTTAGTTTAATTCTCTGCCCATGAAACATAATCCTACAGTCTGGCGGTTTAACCCTGGATCATCCTGTACTTTCAGAATCAGAGAAATACTGAATCTGACTATCGCGAGGACCAAAAAGTGCGTTTTTAACCACTAATCGAATATCACATGGGAAATAGAATGGGGGGTTTCACCCTTCTCCTATTGTCAACCATGCCACATCATCCCTCTATGAAGTTCCAATAAAATGCTAAGCGGAATCATCAATCTACTCATCATCAAAATAGATCAGTGCCGTCTGATAAGCCAAGCTGTGCGGTTCTCCCTCAGTCCAGCGCTCCTCGCTATCAATCTTGATTATCTCCCTTGTTCGAAGTGTAATATGCTGCCGTGGCAGCCTCTCTTTCGAAACTTAGACTTAACCTAAAACTAATACACATAGTGTTTTAAATCCAAACTCTACAACTACCCCTGCGATGGCGGGGGTAGGCGAGAAATCAACCAAAAGTGACGATTCGTCCTACGACACAGTTAAAAATGTTGTTATTAATGAACTACTTTCGGTAGACATAGAACCTGTGCTAAAAAGTGATGCTGTCAACGATTCAATCAAAGCTTACATATCCAAATCAAAATCGGTGGTATCAGTTATGGATAAAGAAAATAAAGTTCTAGCAAATGAAAACAGTGAACTCAATGCTAAACTTAAATCACTATTAGAAAAGTTCGCAGAAAACGAGCAACAAAATCAGCAACAACAAGCTTTAATTTCAAACTTGCAAGTGCAAATCAATGACTTAAAACAAAACATTACTTCTAAAACAGGTAAAGTTTCTAACCCTGTATCTCAAATTCAAAATGTTCGCTCCAAAGATAACTCTGTGAAAGATATCACAAAAAATAACCCACGCAAAATCTCAGTGTCTGGACAATTAAAATTAACTCAGTTTACTGAAGTGCAAAAATCTAAGGATCTGCAATCCAATTCAAACTCAAGTGCTGCTGTGCCAACAAACAATAAATTTGATGTGCTGAATTCTGAACAACCACATCAAGATGAGGAAATGGTCACCTTAGAGGATGATGTTAACAGCGCTAAGGACGATTCTCTTTCAGAGGACTACAACTCAGACCCGGAATTTCGTGCTAAACGACAAGTTTATAGGCAACAAAGGAAAAAGAGGAAGAGAGGAAACTCCAATGAACAGGACCCCCAAACTTCTTCTTCTTCCAAACAACTCACCAATACTGATAAGTCTAACCCTACTGATATTATTAATCCTAGTAATAAGACTAAAATATTACCACCCCCTCCAATTAAAGTTATTGGTATTAAAAACTACGAAGAAATTAAATCTATCCTTAAAGCAGCTTCCCCTAAGGAAGAATATTCCATTCGTTTCATTGGTAGTGAAACATGGAAAATAAACCCTTCATCAGAAGAATCTTTTCGTCAAATTTCTGACAATCTTAATACAAATGGTATACAATGGTATTCACATGCCAACAAAAATACCAGAAATATCAAAGTTATGTGTAAAGGCCTCCCTCCTTCTATGCCTGAGGAAGAAATAGTACAGGACCTTTTGGACAAAAATTTTAAAATTAAAAACGCAGTCTGCATGAGAAAGCGCATAATTAAATCCACTCAAAAACCTACGTCAACAGACAAACCTCAAGATGAAAATTCTTCCTCCAAAAAAGAGATCAAAGAATTTGAACTAATTAAAATACCGGTGCACCAATTAGATTTTGACTACTCAGAATCAATCGAAAAGATCCATAGTATTAAGGCAATAGCCCACACTATGGTTAAAATTGAGCCGATTAAAATTAATCCTACTATAGTGCCTCAATGTAAAAGATGTTGCGGCTTCCAGCATACCGCAAATTTTTGTGCCAAAACCCCCCGATGTGTAAAATGTGCAGGCAAGCATTTATCAGCTGATTGCATGTACAAGGGTAGAATTTCCAACCCTAAATGCGTAAACTGTGGTACCATAGGTCATCCGGCCAGCTACCGTGGCTGTCCTTTTGCAAAGGATTTTCAAATTGCCAGAAAGCATTTATTGAAAAACAAGAAAAATCCAGAAAATAATGAGAAAAATTTCCCACAATTAGGTATTAAAACGATAAAAGCCTCAAAACCGAAACCGCTTGACAAGTCATTTGCACAGGCAGTGACAGGCAATAAAAATAATGAGTCATCCTCTCAAGCTGATATCATCAGCACCTTATTAAAAACGATCGAAGCACTCAACGTGCAAATCCAACTTTTAAATGAGAAAATTGGCCGATTGGAAGCTCGTTCCAATAAATAAAATGACTCATTTTTTCATTTCTTTTCTATGTGTAATTCTAATGAAAATGTCTTTATGTCTTTTCAAAATAATGATGACTGTCTTTTTTCCGAGCAGAACGACACAGTCATTGATTACGAAGATGTAGTACGGCTACAATCTACAAACATCTCATCATCATTAAATTTTATGGCATGGAACTGCGGCGGCCTGACACGGACGAAGGCCGAGGAATTCAATGTCACGCTAAGGGATTTCAGTGTTGATATAGCCCTCCTGTCGGAGACCTGGTTCACTAAGAACGATTTCAAAAGGTATTTCGTAGGTTACAAAATGTATAACGCCTTGCATCCAGAAAATAAAAGACGAGGCGGGTCCTCAATATTAATTAGAGAAAATATCAAGCATAATCTGATAAAAATCATTGAAACTGCAGCATTTCAGTGTGCAGTAATTAGTATAGACACAGAAATTGGTGAATTCAATTTAGCTTCTATTTACACTCCTCCTAAATCTGTACTATCCACAGAAGATTATTCAAATTTCTTAAGTGAACTGGGCTCCACATTTTTGGTAGCAGGCGATTGGAACGCCAAGGACCCTCGCTGGGGATCCAGGATAACAAACCCCAAAGGAAAATCTCTGTTGGAAGCGGCAAATTTGTCTGAATGCCAATTTATCTCTCCAGGTAAACCAACTAATTACCCCTACGACCCTAAGCATAATCCAGACATTATTGACTTTTTTATTTTTAAAAATTTAAATTTAATTGATAAAACTCTATGTGATATTTTACCTCCACCTTTAAGCGGACATGCTAAAATTATTCTCAATATATTTACAAATCCTCTTATCGTTAATCGTCCTCCCACTATTTGTTCCAAGAGAACAAACTGGGAGAAATTTAGAGAAGATCTTGATAAAAGTATAGACAATAGCGTTCCAATCGTCTCTCCAGCGGATATAGACAGGGAGACTGAGCTGTTAGTGGAACAAATTAAAAATTGTGCTATAAACAATACCCCTGTTGCGTCTAATAACCCTCGCCCATATAATATTCCGAAAGAACTCCTGAACTTAATCAGGAAAAAAAGAAAAGCTCATAGAAAGGCAGTTAACTCTAAAATTCCAGAAGACAAGAGCCATTTCAATCGCTTAAATAAAATTGTAAAAAAACGTACTCAAGAATTTCTTAACCTTAAATTCCAAAACTTTATAGAATCTCTCTCTCCCACAGCTGACAAAAATTATTCTTTGTGGGCATCCACCAAATATTTGAAACGTCCGAAACAACTAAAATTCCCTATTAAGAAAAAAGATGGTTCTTGGGCTAGCACTGATGCTGAAAAAGCAGAAGTTTTAGCGGATCACTTTGAAAACGCCTTTAAACCTCATAGTGACATTAATGCTGAAATCTCCTCAGACTCGGAGGAATCATTCACAGACAGCTCAGTCTCCAACCCGCAAACACAGGGGGAGGTATCAACACTGAAACCCCGGAAAAAAGTCAAGAAAATACCCCCAATTAAGATAAAGACCATATCTCCCTCAGAACTTTTAAAGGAAATCAAGGGGAAAATCAAAGTTAAAAAAGCACCTGGGTATGATAAAATCTCAGGTCTGATTCTAAAAAATCTTCCTAAAAAAGCTCATATGAAGTTGGTATCAATTTTTAACGCTGTTCTAAGACATAAATATATTCCATCTCAGTGGAAAATTGCAGAAATTTTTGTACTATTAAAACCAGATAAACCCCCAGCTGAAGCTGCCTCATACAGACCTATCTCTCTACTGCCAGTGATCGGCAAACTTTTCGAAAGGCTGTACATAAAAAGACTCAATGAGATAGTAAAAGACAAAAATTTAATCATAGACGCCCAATTTGGCTTTAGGGCTCAACATTCCACTGTTGACCAACTTCATAGGGTGACAAAATTTATTGAAGATTCCCTTGAAAAAGGAGAATATTGTGTAGCGGTTTTTCTTGATGTGGCGCAGGCATTTGATCGTGTGTGGCACGAGCGTCTCGTCGAAAAGCTTTATAGGATGCTCCCTTGCAATCATGTGGAGCTCCTTTCCTCTTTCCTGTCGGGAAGACAGTTTAGAATACGATACGAAAACTCAACTTCGAGCTTTAGACGGATTGAGGCGGGGGTTCCGCAGGGTTCCTGTCTTTCTCCTCTTCTATACTCTCTCTTCACTACAGACATCCCACAGTCTGGGAGGGGGGGAAAGTTGGGCATCTACGCAGACGATACTCTCGTGTTATCTTCGTCCAGAAGTTACAGGGAGGCACGTCAAAACGCACAAATACATTTGAATAAAATAAATCATTGGACCGAAAAGGACAAAACAAAATTAAATGCGACAAAGTCAGTAGAGGTAGTATTTACGAACAGATCTTTTGTTCACATCCCTCTTCGATTAGGGGAAACTGAAATCCCCAATGATAAAACCGCAAAATATCTCGGCCTTCATCTGGATTCCAGGCTCAGATGGGGTACCCACATTATGAAAAAAGTCGCTCAACTGCGACTAAAATTCTCGAATATGCAGTGGCTCTTGGGTCGCAAATCTCGGCTTTCACTACAACTAAAGCTGCTCCTCTACAAGTCAATGTTGAGGCCGGTTTGGAGTTATGGCTGCCAATTGTGGGGTTGTGCAGCCAAGTCAAATTTGGATAAGATTGAAATCATGCAAATGAAGATTCTCAGAAGTATTGTTAAAGCTCGTTGGTATGAGAGGAACGCAGATATTCGCGCTGACCTCAATATTGACTCTGTAGAGGATTACATCACCAAGATGTACTCTGCGTATGAATTGAGATTGCATCGGCACCCCAACCAAGAAGCGCTTGCGCTCTTGGAATGGGACCGGTGCAGTCGCAGGTTGAAAAGACGTAAACCCTATGAGCTTGGAATTCAGGGTTTTTCTAAATTATTTCCTTAATCAAATGTGCCTCCCCGTATCTTCGGACGGATCAGGGGTTCCTGGGTCTTTAACCGGTGACGGTTGACCATAGTCTTCACAATAAAAACAAAGACTTTTACGATTAGACAAAAAGACATTTTTATTTTGAAAATAAATTTGTTCTTATATTCTCCTCAATATAGCAGAGGTAGTATCACATTTTCTTAACATGATTAAAACATTTTGTTCTCTTGTTTTGTAAAGTTTTTATGTATATAATATTAAGTTTTCACTTAAAGTTAAAATTAGCTTTAAAAGACAATTCAAATTGTCTGTAAGCACTTATTTTGTACTAATTGTTTTTCTTGTACGAATAAAAAAAAAAAAAAAAAAAAAAAAAANGGAAATAGAATGGGGGGTTTCACCCTTCTCCTATTGTCAACCATGCCACATCATCCCTCTATGAAGTTCCAATAAAATGCTAAGCGGAATCATCAATCTACTCATCATCAAAATAGATTCCGGAGACCGAAACGAACGGCTACAAAAACAAACTAATATGTTTGGAACCTGTTTCAGCTTTTACTCCCTGTCTTTTTTCAATTTCTCCTCTCTCTTTCCTGCAGGTTACTCAGTTTTCGGCCAAAAGACAGAGGGGAGCATACCACCCCTCTTGGAACCGACGGAGTCAAGTACAGGGCTTGTCAGTGCCGTTGTTTTTCTTTAAAAAAATCTCACTGATTCTGTTGGGAATGGATGAAATTCATCGTGCTCGGTCGATGCCCGTGTTGCATTTGCAAGAGACAGAAGGCCTCATCACTTTCTTCGCACTGATTGCTCTCGTGTTTAGCGATCGATTGATGAGAGAACGTGTTAATGACATAGCCTTAACGCAACTATTCAACCTCGCGGGATGTCTGTATTGTATTCAACAAATTGAAGGCGTTTTGACTTTACGCACAATCTACAGCTGGGTCAATCAACGAACGCGTTTATGACAGCGCCTCGACGCAATTATTCAGGCTTGATAGATGTCCGAGTCACATATCGATGTTCAAAGTGCGGAACGACGTATCTCCAAAAAATCCGCTTCAATTTTATCTTTTCCAAGAAGGGCAAGTCTTTCAGGGCCAAAATCGAAAGTTCTACAATCGAGCTGAAATCAACCTGATCCTCTGTATACATTATTACGAGTACGATTAAACCACATCTGTTCGGCAGAACTGGAGAAGCTCGATTTACCAGCGTTAGGATATTGATAAATTAACTCGAATAGAAATAAAAATATCAAATTACCAAAGACTCACATTTTAAACATTTCTATGAGCAGATTACAGCTTACCATCGGATATGATGAAATTTTTAATTTGCACCTCGAATTGCGAGAATTATCGTACCGTCGCACAGTGCAGCATCCTTATGGCGACGACGCGGACAAAAATTGGTATAGGCACTTAATTTTAAATAATGAAGATGGTAGCACAAACATAGGAAAACTCTTTGGCATTATCAAAGATAAACACTCGAAGAATGGGACAATGTTATATCTCAGGATATATTTGGCGTATTTTTCGAGAAAAGTTTATTTGAAGTTGGCAACCTCGAATCAACCCTATGTTAACAATGTAAAAGCATCGTGAAACACCCAATTTTTAACTTCAAATATCTCCGATAGTAGCAAAAAGTCCCAAGATCTTTTGGGTAGAATTAAACTTATGTATCTGAGGATTAAGAAAATATCTACCGCCCGGAGCATTTTGCGTTTCAAGCGAGAAATCTTCATTTGAAGTTGACTTCTTTTCCCCGTGTATTTTGTTGTGAGCCCGTGATTCTCGACCCATTTTTCGCCCACTTTCTACCCACATTTGAAGTAGTTTGGGGCGAAAAATTTGAAAATGAACCATCATTGCGAGTCAGAAATATCTTCAAGATTTCAAACTGCAAAAAAGTATTCAGATGTCGAGTTGTTAATTTTTGATTTTCGTCCGCAGAGGGCCGCACTGTGCGTCGCTAGGTCAAGAGCCGTGCGGAATTCGAAATACCCGCCATTCACGAGAGTCCAATCAGCAGTATGGATTTGAATTTCCCACCTCCGGACTCACCGCGCGCCGTTCAAGGTGGCAGCTGTAGCTCCAACTCGCTGGGAGCGCTCTGAGGTGGTTGTCTAGGAGCGGGAGAATCAGGGGGCGAGAGGGGGGCTCTGGCTGCTCCTCTATATGGCCGTGTTCGTATTTTGAATCCAGCAAAGCAACGACCCAGAACAAATCCCCACCATCCGGGATGAATAGAATGCAACGCTCCGGAGTTGCCGGTGTTAGCGCAGGTGTCGCGCGCTACCTGGCGGTGGTTGCCGGAAATCAGACTTGCAAGAGACTTGCAGACTTGTTATTACACCTTTCTTTATTTAGACGTTTCATTGAATTTTTTATGTGTAATAATGCTCTCCGAGTTCCCGTTTCCTCTTAAGGCAGAGTTTTCATTTGTTTTACCACCACAGTTGAGTGCCACCACAGTTGTTGAGTGTCATTTATGTAGTAAATGAGGTCTGAAAGTATCACCGAAAAATTAAAAATGTTGATCGCCATACGTTAACACAGCTCAAGCAAAAAATTAAGAAATGAATGAAAATTCATGCAGAAACAAAAAATAAAAAAAATTATACCAAAAAATAAAAGAAGGTTAAAGAAGAAATGTAAGTACAAAATTAATGGAAAGAAAAAAATGACAGAACAAAAAAATTGTAATGGACACTTTTTTTTTAAATTTTAAGCAACTTTTTTGTTGGAAGAAGAAAGAATGTTGGAAAAGCATATTTTTTAAATCAGATTTATGACAGTACAGAATGAGCATTAAAGAGAGAATTGATTTATCTCCAAATTTTTTGACAAAAAAATTTACCTCTAAATTTATGAGGGAAAAAACCAGTTTTTGTAGAGACCTATCGGCATGTGCGATTCCGAATCATCAATAAAGTCAGCCGATAAGAATACTAGGAACGTCTCAGAATTTCTCTTAGGTCCGCAACCCCAGCTGGTGCAAAGCCCAACCAGTACACCTAGAAGAACAGGTTACCCGAAGACTAAATCAGAGTACCGAGAACCCGACAACGATGCACTCCACCCACGTTGCCAACCCTACATAAAACCCCAAAAATTCTCCGCTAAAACCAGCGGAAAACCAGAAACTCGGCACCGTCGCGCGGCAACTCCCACCGCGACTCGGCCGCGTAATCGCCACAACCGCAGCGCGACTCAGTGAGCGAGGTTTCTCCGGCGGCGAGATCGCAGCTCCAGCTCCCATCGACGAGGGCACTTTTTCGGTCCCCCGATGACCCCGGGGCCCGCGGAAACGTGACGGAGGGCTCCCGTCCCCCCAAAACGCGAGTGCGCCCCCCAAAACGCGAGTGGAGTCTCCCTGTGAAGTGAAGTGCCCGTGAAAATGACAATGACGCGAAAGTTGGTGAAGTTCCTCATCCTGTTCGACAACACGAATCTCCTCTACTTCCCCGGACAGTTTCTGAGTGGGCGTGTGCTCATCGAGCTCAAGGATGACACGCCAGTCCTCGGTAAGACCCTTCGAAATCCATTGGAATGGGTGATAAGTTAGTTGATAAGCTGGGTGAGTATTCGGATGATACCATGGAACTTAGAGTGGGATTGGAGATCAGATCAGAGTTTAGTGGTTCGTGTAAACAAGAGGCCTGCACTCAGCAGGAGCGGTCTAGCCAGGGGTACTGGGGTACCACCTGAAAGGAAGGGGCCCCGAAAACGCATCAGCATACCAAGAATTTCCGAGCAATACCGCAGTGTCGGTCTTCTGGGGCTTAAATGTGAAAAATAAACTCGGGCCCTTAGTGCTAGTGCACTAAGGACCTGAGTTCATTTTTCACATGTAAGCCCCAGAAGTCCTAGAACTCATTAGTTTTCTGACAATTTTCATTGGGGGTAAGAGATAAGTTGAGTGCATTGATTGAAATCAGGGCAGGAATCCCTCCAGAACTCAAGATCAGGGTCCTCTAATTCATCTAAATATGAGGCCTGCCTATGGGGTGTACACTTCTTTATTTATCATAAGATTTACAAGAAAACTCTTAGGTCTCCATCTCATGAAGACAGGTGGTAAAACAAGATACGGTTTTGGTCCGGGAAACAAAGTCCATTCGTTTTGAGCGAAAAAGAGATCTGTCGTGAAATTCTATAGTTTTCAAAGTTGGGACCTTCAGTTTTCAATGGGTGTAGGGTGTAATTTGCTTGCTCGAAAGGTCAGCCATTAAAGTGATGAAGGGCTTGAGATGAAAGTCTGGTGATCCATGGATGCCTCATGGATAATATTTTAAGTTACATAAGTAAAAGAGTCCAAAGGACTTCACCGTAAACTCCAGACCATAACGTCCACAAGACCCAAATAAATGTAGCTTCGCTGTGTGATGTGTCGAGTGTTGTGTGCTGGAACTCAGACTCACTCAGAGTAGCATAGTTCAAAAATTTGAGGGTAGAGTTTAATGATTCATGTGAACAAGAGACCCATTGAAAAAGTTTTCGGATCCTATAGCGAGAGCCTCAGCTGTAATAATTTGAAAGAATATGAGTCAGGGCTATGATGAGATGTAAAATGGGAAAGTTATTCATGACTCAAGCTGAGGGTCTCATAATGAATGTAAACGAGGAAACTATAGTAAGTCGAAAAAAACTGTATTTTTATCTCACTCGTACATCCCTCAAGTCGTAGAACCCATAAGCTTTCATCAATCTCTGGTAAAAATAAAACAGCATGAAAATTTTCAGAAATGCTGAAAGATCCCCGATGATAATCAAGGCAATGTCGCCACATCGTGGTTTCGTCACCTGGGATTTACTCGTCAGAACAAGCGATTTTCAAGTATTTCAGGCATGCATATCAGGCGATTTTCATAATGTACCAAATCACAATCCTCGATTATTATCAGAAAAATCTTTTGGTGCCTACGTCAGAGTATCATTGACGATGTTTTTTGACGATGGATTTTTATTGGGCCTCAAGGCTGGAATGAGATACGCGTTGGTCGTTATAATGGAACACGGGGTGAGAATATGCAGAACTTACATCAAGGGTCAGAAATCTATGCGGACAAAGGAGACCAGTAGTAAGGATATCCGAATTCTCTATGAGACCTTTAGTTTTCAATCGATATCGGTGTAAAATAAACCCTGGTAAAAATTGACGATAGGAGCTGCGTTTCAAAATACCATAGAAATTCTTATGGCCGACTGAAGAAGGCGATAGAAAATCATATAGCTGGCTGTAGAAAGTGGGAAAAATCATACGACCGGGCTACACGAAGCAATAAAAAATTAAACAGCCGGGCTATAGTTCCTGTCGCCGGGCTTTACACTTTATTGCCTGGCTGTTGCTTTTTCGTCATCGGCTATAAAAGGCTATAAGAAATTGTGTAGAAATTCGTGTGCTTTGTAAATCCTTAAGTTTGTACGGAATCACCATAATATTTACAAAACGCACATTATATTTTCCTTTACTACATATTTGTTTTTATCAATTAAAATGAGAATAATCCATACAGAGTGTGCAAACATTTCAAAGTCATGAGTTGAACAACGCTGACTCCACGAGATTAAATATTAGAACCTAACAAAAAGCGGAGCGGCGGCGCACTGGCGTCTACAAACCTAACAGGGATACTTCACGCATTGCGCAACGCGTGAAGTATCCCTGTTAGGTTTGTAGGCGCCAATGCGCGTTGCGCGCTGGCTGCCCGCCCGCCGCGCCGCGCCGCAGCGTACCACGGCGCTTGAAGCAACTATTTCACACCCGAGGTATTGCACAGTATCGTACGAAATTGAAGGCGCTCCAACATATTAGGAATGGCAGGCATCCTTCAAAAGTACGGAGCTTTCCTCGCAAAATAAATCAAGATACTACGGCCCAAAAAGAGAGCGGTAGTCCAAAAACTCACTGAGTCCTAGCATCCGTAATTAGTAACGTTTTGCTAAACGTTTAGCTAGTGTATGCTTACACTTTATCGTCAGGCTATTGCTTAATCGCCATCGGCTATAAAAAGCTATAAGAAATTGTGTTGCCGGCTGTAGAAGCTGTTGGAAATCTGACAGTCGGCTGTAGGTCTATGGTATTTTGGAACACAGATTCTACTGCCAGTTTTTACCAGGGTACGGTGGGATTTGTTCAGAAAACAAGATCGGCAGTGGCGCGGCGTAATTTGCCATCCAATTTCGATTAATCTGCCATTTAAACATACGGATAAGGATCGATAAACAAAGCGTTTGCAGCGAACATCTTAGTAATCGATTCTTTACCATAACTTCGAATGGGGAAATATCAATAATCGATCATCCACGCCTCGCTACTGAGGATCACGATTCCATGAAGCAATGTTTTCTCTTGCTCATGGGTCCCCCAAGTCTTCCATTAATTATAGGGATGATACGCAAGGAAATGTCAGTATAAGACTCAGGATGAAATCGGCCAGAGTCTAGTGGTTCATGTAAATAATAGCCATGAACCCTTTGGAAAGGTCCCAAGTTATTTATCAGTATAGGTATCAATTTTTTGTGCAAAGTAAAACCTAGAAAATGGACTATTTCAGTTCGGGGTCCAAGATCTGGATATGACGTCGGAATTTTTCTTGCCCTGAGAGGTCCAGTTAAGTTAAGTCATTTCTGATTTAGAACTTTCAGGATCTTATTAAGTTCATTTTTAGCCAAATGTGAAAAGTGGTATCTTTTGATCAGCTTAGGTGATTTTTATATCCTATTCACTATTTTGAAAGAGAGCGATGCTTTTCAAAAAAAAAAAAAAAATTCTTCGCATTGTCTGAGAACAATGAGTACTTAAACGCGCGTGGGTTCATGCGAACAGGTGGGTACACATAGAGGTATAAATTTGAAAATAATTTTGTCCTACTGTCAGTTTGGAGGACATGCATTTCAAAATGCATATTGTCGTCACAACAGAAAAATATCAGTCGGAATCTATCCAAAGGGTGCACACAAAACCTCGAAAAATCTTCTAAAAAGAATATTAATTGTAGATGAAAAGAGTGCAGGAGTTGCCTACTCCTTTTTATTACCCTGGTCGTATCAACTGACGAAAGTTATCGTGAAGGTGACAAAAATGTGTCCAGTGCGCTAGCTACTAGCAAGTCGCAATCTCTGAATATCACTTAAAGAAATAAGAGTTCATCAGTTTAGCAAGACACTCTTTTTATCCCAGATGTCTCAAAAAACCTATAGTTCCGGCGATTTCACCAAAAATTTGGTCGATTAAACAACCCTTCTTTGTTGATGTGACCGATAAGTAATTCAAAGAACATAAATATGAAAATGTCTAACTGTGTATATGATCAATAAGACAGAAAGTTGGAATTTTTTAGCCAACGTTCGTTAAAAATTAGCAAAGAGCTGAAAATCTCAATACAGAGGGAAAAAGCTCATACGAGCACAATTTCCCCCCAAAGAGATACGCTGCTTGGTACAACACCTGTAACGACCATTCAGGAAGGCAACTGCAAGCGCGTTTCGGCCTTTTTGGGCCAATCCTTAGGGCAGCGCAGCCTCCTGAATTTCCTGCTACCAAGCTCGACCAAACAGCGTATCTCTTCAGGGGAAAATTGTGCTCATATGAGCTTTTGTCCTCTGTATTGAGATTTTCAGCTTTTTGCTGATTTTTAACGCACTTTGGCTAAAAAGAAATTCCAACTTACCATCTTACGACCAGTGCGAATCAGTTTGTGATCAATAATACTTTACACCCAAAAATCACCGAGAGTATACAATTTATGATCACTGATGACGAAATGTCATACTCTCATCCTTCCCCTGAAGTTTTTTCTGATGACGCCCATCATAAACACGGAGGAAATGTTTTCACTCGCGCAAGCGCCGGATGCCCGCCTCGACGCCGTCGACGAAGCCTTATTTGTTGAGACCAGTTTGTTTATTGAGCAAAGCCGAGACCGCAGGTTGGGTAACCGCTTTGTATTCGGCCAACGTACGCGTGTTTTAGCGAGCAAGCCCGTTCATTCGGACTCGCCGCCGGAGCAATGGAGCATTCCCACGAAAACGAAAGTGAAATGTCAGCCGGGCACGAGCTAATAATTTGTTTCGGCGACTCGCCGATTGTGGGAATTTTCGGAATCCGAATAATAAGATAATGAGAGATCTCGGCTTTTGCACCGCGAGCGGGAAGTCATTCCTGCCGCGTTTGGGATCGCGGTGGTTTGCTCTGAGCATCTAAAGTTGGACTGCATTCATCATGCGAGATGTAATGCTGTAAAGTTGCATACTTCTGAAAATGAAGGTGTTTTGTAATTCGAAGGGTTTCATTCAGTTACGTAACGAAGTCGGTAATAGGTCAAAATGTCCCAAATAAAATGTCCAAAAGTCAAAATGTCCAAACCCTGAATGCCCAAAAATCTGAAAAGGCCAAATATCAGTAATGTCCAGCAGATAAATAAGTCGAAAAGTAGGCGGATGTCCAAATTAATGGAAAGAGTAAATATATACTGACTGATTTCAGACTTCTTCGTCAGAATCAGTGTCAGCATCACAAGTC